CCATCATCCGGCCTGTGATCATCCGGCGCAGACCGTCACCACGTCAACCACACCACTACCGCCAGTCTCAACACCGCAGCTACACACCATGGCCATCTTTCCACCCGCCCCTCCTGCCGTAACCGCAGCTGCACAGCAAAGGCTTCTGCAACCACCATCCTCGACAGCCCCGTCGTCCCGGCGCAGCGCCGACAATTCTTCTTGGTTCCACCGGGTCCACCCTCCTTCTGCGCATGTAATCTCCCACCACCGCACGCCAGCATCACTACCTCTACACCACAACCAACGCAAACGACGACGGCTTTGACGGCCAGGTCAGCCGATCTATGTGCTGGTAAGGAAAAACCTACCGCTGCCCACAAAGAACTCAAGACTCCCCTTTTGGTTCTAGAGCGCCCGCCCCACCTTTTCACTAGAGCCTTGGTCTCCGCGCCTAGCATCAACGCTCGACGAACGCATCGTTTCCTCATGGCACCCTATCTCCACGACGAACTACGCCGACAATTAATTCATCCACAAGTGGCTCCATTCAAGACGCGCAAGCACGTTTATTCGCCCGCACGACAACCCTAAGAAGGAAGCGCAGCTTGGCGGCGGTGCGGGGGAGGGAGCGATGGTGAGTGGTTTTTTTTTTGACGTTATTATTGTTGTTGTTGTTGGGGGTCGAGCGATATATCGTATACCCGATGTGCCGTGGGCAACATCACATACGTGCTCCCCGGCGGCATGCTGACACCGCGTCCCCTCCCCTCCCACGGGGGTTCGGCGAGTGTCCCGAGGACATCGCCGCTCCCCTGTGCTATATCGCATACACGCTGGGCGGTGTGCCTTCCCGGCATCCCGCTTCCGCTTTCGCCCATCCTCCATTGCCCCCCGCCCACCAACATTTTTTTTTAAAACCCCAAAACTAACACCACCCCCCAGGCTGCCTCGATGACTACGCGCCCAAGGGCCCGCGGATGCTCTACTGCTACCTCCTCACCGCGCTCGTGCCGACGCCGATGATGCCCGCATGCAGGCTGAGGTCCGCGGAGCAGCAGGTGGGTTATTTTTGCTGTTTTGAGTTCTCCCATACATCTCCTTGCTACGTGCCCGTACATACTCCCCCCCTAAATAACGTCTTCTGATACCTTTTTCTTTATGCCCCCTCTTTTGAAAAAAACTCTCACTAACCCCTCCCCGCAGCGCGCCTAGCGCGTGAAGATCGGGCTCATCAACATCATCCTGATCGAGATGGCTGCCGTCGGATTCATCACCTTGGACTTTACCCAGAGAGTGTGCGGGACGCCGCCGCAAAGGTTCCATGGGGGACGCAGGGATCAGGAAGGGGAGTATTGTTATTAATGGGGGTGAGTGCCGTCCGACTTCTTCCTACTTCCGCCCTCCACTTGCGCACCGTCCACCGCTCGACTCGCTCGCGACAACGGACTACCAAGCTGATACTGGTCATTGCGGATGGGATGGTCAAGGGCGGCGGGGAACACGCTGACGGCGCCGGAGATCTGCCTGGGGATGATGCGGCAGTCTATCGTGGCGCCGGGCGAGGTGGAGGCGCACTCCAAGACGCCTAACGGAGAATCGGGATTCTGGGTGCCCATCCTCGCGAACCGGACATTGTCGAGCACTACTCGGAGCACGTCGTCGACACACTGCACAAGAAGAACCTTCTCCTGCTCGGCGAGGATCGGTATCTTCCCACGCTGATACTCAAGACATTCCCCAAGCGCAAGGACATATTCTGCCCGCAGGCCGTCTGCAAGACTGTCGTGCCCGACACGTTCCGCGTGCTGCTCTCGCAGCGCCGCCGCTGGATCAACTCGACCATCCACGCAAGCGGTGCTATTCTTGACACTCAAAAAACTAGTTGGCGGCGATGTCCTTTTGTACCCTACTTGAATATAAACTTGCTGGGACCGAAAGGTCGCATTTTTCTTTCGAAATCCGGCGATTTCTGCAAAACTGAAACGCGGTGGTCACAGCACGTGGTATGACATCAGGCTAGGGACTAAAATGGATTGGCTTGTCCGGTGATCCGTCCGTGCCATCCGTGATTTCGCGGATGTGGACAGATACGGATGGATTCCCACGGATAAGCACGGATTGATGGGCATCCACGGATAGACCCCTGATGGCCACCACACCAACGCGCCCTGCTCTGAGGCTGCTGGTCCCTGGCGCGCCGCGCCAGGCGCACTCTCTCTATTCAATAGCCTTATTCTGATACCCTAATCTGTTGTAATATATGTCTCTCCCACTCTCCAAGCCGTGGAGCAAACTGGTCATCTTCACGCGCTGGTGCTAATCCAAGACCTTCTTCAAGACACCCCACTCCCGATCCGTCCCCCGACGTTCGCAGGACACATTCTCAGTAGTTCGTGGCCTTGGCAATAAGCTTTCGCGGCGGTGGGCGCACAATACTTGGTGTAAACTATATGACGTCACCAATCCACGGTTATCCGTGGTTAGCTGTGGTTCCGATCCGCGGATAGCGGAGTTTGAAAATAACCGCGGATTTGATCCGGATAGCTACCGGCTCTCCCATTTTAGTCCCTACATCAGGCTAATCGATTGGAAGCATATAAAGCCTTCCTCTTCAATTCCTCTTCGCTTCCCGTCCTTCTTCACTCCTCTCCTTCGCCTATTTTAGCTAATACCGTAACTCAATAATGGCTTCCAAACTGCTAAAAGAACCCCAAATGACGATGGAGGAGCGCATCGCTCATCGCGCCGCCAACAGCCCTGCCATACAAAAGGCTATCGCCCCGACTGGTTTATTTTACAAAACGATCAAGCCACCCACGGTTTCCGCTCACGACCATATACTGTACCAATCCTAATGACTGAAATGTAACGCGTAACGGGGGCACCGTTTTGTTTCAAATGTAATGCATAACGGAGGGGTAGTTTCTCTCAAAAACCGTTACTTTTTTTTTCACCAGCTGCAGGATTTAATATATTTATGCAAGGACATTGTGTAGGAGTAAATCTAGACCCCATGTTCGTCCTCAAACCCTGCAATTCAAAAATTAGTCAGCCTCACCCACAATAAGTTCCTCAACATCATCCCGATGAACTCCAGTATTTGATAAATTCTCTAGAAGTTTCTGTAGATATTCTATCCACGATACAAGTTCCTGTGAAGGGCCCGTTGCAGGTCTAGGTACTTTAGGAGGCACTGTGTAGGTTGAGAAAAAGCCAAAATACGGCTTTAGTATGGCCGTTTCAACATTTTGGGTATGTACCGCATAACGGCATGGGTGTTTCACGTTGCTACCAAATTGTTTCACTAACAGTTCAAGGTCCGTTTCAGTCATTAGAGTTGGTACAGTAAAGGCTATTTGGTAGAAATTTGCGGAGAAGCGTGAAACCAAAGTACTACCTCGAGAAATTGTGCAGCTGCCTTGCCATCCCGGCAGAAAATGCACAGATATTCCAAAACATTTATCTATGCTTATGGAAAGTCACCCATTGAGCGCACCTTTTGCGTTTCTGGACCGTCATATTCCTGTTTCTTTGCAGGAAAAAATAAATAAATGTTCAGTGTTGGTTAAGTATATATTAAAGGAAATAAAGCAGTTATTGGGTGACTTCCCGTAAGCATTAAATATTCCTGTGGAATATTTTTCGAATTTCCGCCGTGATGCAGGAGGTAACCTCCTGTGCATCCAACCCCTGCCAGAATATTAATTTGACCCCATCAATAGCACTCTCAAACAAGCTCAGATATTGTGCAGGACTATTCTATTGTTATGGAAAGTCACCCATTATAGTGGGTTGATAAAAACAGACCATGAGGCCTATACGGTTTCGTTTCCTTCCTTTTATTTATTTACTTACCGCTTCACTTACCAAGTCTTTCCTTTTAGTATCATTAGTTACATGTCACACTCTCAGCTAATGTGTTTGCTGAGAAGGGTCACTGTTTTTTATAGGTGACTTTCCATAAGCATTTTTTCTTCTAGCTGAATTTTCCAGCAGTGCCAATGATGTCGGCTAAGTATAAAAAGATCAATTATAATTGACTATGATTCCCATAAGCGTTTCATACAATTAATGATTATTTTCAGCAAATGTGTGCAAGCAACATGTCAACACTTGCTCCTGTCCCATACACCTGTCGATGGACATTACTTCCCACATCGGAATGGTGCCGACATGGAAGAGGATGATGGTGCTACAACTGCAGCAGCCCTGATTTTGCTTTGTGCCACAGAGCGGCATATATTAAGTACACGCAGCACGGAGACAAGACAGCCGGCTTTATCCCCAGCTTCTCAGGTCTCCAGGCTGCAGACAAAAGGTGGCCCAGCTCACCGGATCAGCGGCCTCGGAAGACAAGACCCTAGGAACTTGAAGCCAAGAGGGCGACTCTGAGTGAGAGGCATCTGTAGAAGACTAGAAGATGTGTTGTGAACGTGTGTGGTACATAGTTTTCAGACTATTCCAAGTCTATTCGAGGGGAGGGGGTACCCCTCGAATAGATTCATATTAACTGTGATTTATTCGAGGGTCTACGCGAGATCTGAGAGCGATGGGGTCCTGATGGCACCTCCGGCATCCTGGCGGAAATTCGAAAAATATTCTCCAAGAATATTTAAGACTTATGGGAAGTCACCCAGTAGCAAATTCCTGTGGTACACTTTGCAATCATCTGTATGGATATGGGCCGACTTCTTGTCTGGGACACGGTGATCAAGCCGATAGGCGGAACTTGAAATCACCTCGTAGAAAGTTGATTGTTGAAAGTTGTGTTCTAAACTTGGAATAAAAAATGATAATAACTGTCATATATAACGCCACAACACAATCCCGGAGAACGAAGCCATTCCTCAGGGGACAGACATTGTATTACCTCTAAGCCATTCATCCAAGACACACTTCAAAGTTTTGAGCCGCTTCCAAATCATTTGGTTCTTCATGGCTTTTTGACAAACACTGGTGCCTTCTGCTTGTTCCTACCCTTTAGACTCTCATATCCCCTTCAATTTCTATTCTACAACACACTTATGGTGAAGCGGTTATCATGCTTGCCTTCCAATTTGTGATTACGTAATTCGCTAGCAAGCGGCAGGGGTTCGACTCCCCTTAAGTGTATCATCTTTTGGCTTCTTTTTGCCGCCAGCGGCTTCCCAGCGCAGAAGAATAATGCTACGGTGCCTGCATTGCCGTTTCCAGCCAGCCCCCTGTCTCCAGCTGCGCAAAGTAACCGCTACACCGCAAGGGTCGGCAGTTTGATTCCCCTTAAATATATATATATATATATTTACACAGTTTTTAGTGCTTTTGCTCAAGTTCCACTCCTTTGCGCACTTTCATTTCCATTGGCGAGACAACAAGACAGCAATACCAGTGCCTGGGGTCAAAGATTCCCTGTGCAAAGTAACCGTTACACCGCAAGGGTTCGACTCCCGTTAAGTGTTTTTTTTGGCGCTTCTTTTTTTGCTGCTTTCATCTCTCGTTTGGTTCATCTGTTGCGCATTTTGATTTTGATTGCAATACCCCGCACCCCATGAAGGCGGGGTTCAAAGGTTCCGGGTTTATTATTGCCTGCGCAAAGTAAGCACTACACCGCAAGGGTTGGCAGTTCGACTCCCCTTAAGTGTATTCTTTTGCACATTTCTGTTACCTTGCACAAGTTCGACTCTCGTCAGCTTCATCATTTGCGCATTTCCTTCTTCATTGGGAAAACGGCAAGACCGCAATACCAACGCCAGACAACGGCGGGGTTCAAAGATTCCGGACTTATTCTTCATGTTTATTGCCTGTGTAAAGTACTAATAAGGGTTGGCAAGTGGCAGGGGTTGGACTGCCCTCAAGTGTATGCTTTTGCGCATTTTTTGGCTACTTTAAAGCTTGCACGGGTCCACTCTTGTTTCGTTCAAGTCTGGTCTATTATTGCCTGCGCAAAGTAACCACTACACCGCAAGGGTTGGCAGTTCGACTCCCCTAAGTGTATTCTTTTGCGCATTTTCTGGCTACTTTGCACGGGCTCCAGCCTCTTCTGTTTCATCTTTTGCGCATTTTCATTTTCATTGGTAAAACGGCAATACCAGTGCGGGCTCAAAGATTCCACATTTATTGTTTCTGCGCAAAGTAACCGCTACACCGCAAGTTCGACTCTCCTCAAGTGTATTCTTTTGTGCATTGTTCGAATTCAACTAGTTCATCTTTTGCGCATTTTCATTTCATTGCAGGACGGCAAGACGGCAATACGAGCGTCAAACGAAGTTGTTAATTTATTGCCGAAGGCGGGGTTCAAAGGTTCCGGGTTTGTTATTGCCTGCGCAAAGTAACCACTACACCGTAAGGGTTGGCAGTTTAACTCCCTTTAAATGTAGTCTTTTGCGCATTTCATTTTCATTGGCAAGAGGGCAATACCAGCACCAGACGCAGGCGAGGTTGGATGCTCATACTTCTCCGCGCGCGTTATCCCGCTAGGCGCAACAATACCTAATTAACACATCCTCGGCTGCGTGTCATCTGCTAATACTTGAGCACGGACAGAAATGAATTGCAGCTCCTAAATATACTTGGATCCCGAGATTCTTTAGGATGGATGTTCAGCTTTGGTGGCGCAGAATCTTTTTACTTATTACAAACATTGAGCCGCATATTTACGCATCCAGAGGTACGAGTCTGTTCAATTCCAATTTCACGCCAATACGCTTGCAATACAGTTTCTCTTAATCCTTCCCCACATACGCTGGCGCCGCCTCCAGCACCTCCGTCGGCCCGTAAATCTCGGTCAACGCGGGGTTCGTATTGATAACCTTCTCTACATGCGCGAATAGGTGCGGGAACCGCGCGCGCGTCGGTGTGTCGAAATTTACCGCCGCCGCCCGTTGGATTAAGGCAGCGATGTAGAGGTCCGCGAGTGTCAGATACGCACCGACAAAATACTCGCGCGTCGCGATGTGCGCGTCCAGCGTGGCGAGGCCACGCAGCTGGCGATCGAGGAGTATCGTGTGCGTCTAATGTGCATTAGCGATATTATTTTGAAGGGATTATCACAGGACTCACAGATTCGCTGTAGACGCCAAGCTTTCCCCCAACCAAATTGTGGATCAGGCCCGTGTAGACGTCCACCTCGGTCTCGAGGAGGTGCACCCACTGATCGATGTGCGCTGCTTGCTCGGGGGACTGGCCGAGGAGCGTCGAGGTGGGGCCCGCGAGCCCGGCGACTGCATACACAGACACAAATTTAACAAATTATGAGATTCTCATACAGTGAATTAAAAAATGGAAGGTACGCACGATAGCGAGCGATCGCTGCACTCTCAAAAACCAGGACCCCGTCCTTGCCCTCCCAGGCGGGGATCTTCCCGTGCGGGAACTTGCTGAGGAACGCGGGTTTCTTGTTGTCTTCGCGGTGAATGTAGCTCGCCGGGAGGTCAATCTCGACGCCGCCCACGGCTGCAACAGCTCTGATCTGCAGATGGGAATGCCAGGATAGGCAATTCAAAGTGGGTTTGAGACAGATATTATAGTTATTCAACCTGGCCGGCAAGGAGGAAGGATCGACGTACGGCTTTGCCGGGGTATTGGCCTTTGACAGTCCACAGTGTACCGGCTGAGGAGGACATGGTGGATGTGGTGGGAGAGATTAGGAGAGACTGATTTTGGAGTACGGACCGCATTCCCACAGATGCCGTACCCCCGCTGTTCATCAAAATGTCGGCTTTTTGTTCCGGGATGCATTTGGACGCAATAAATAACGTGTGGAAATGGATGAAACGTGAAGCCCGAGTTTCAATAGGAGTATTAGTTAATATGGGCCCAAGGCTTGAGCAGTATAAGCCTATTTTTCGCCGTACCTGATAATTCGGGAACGGCGAAAATGTTGATCCTCGCAATATCGGTGAATAGGTCGGGCCAAAATTAGCACCAAAGGCCCAGAAAAGCACAATAATTGTTGCCCAGCGTTATGGAGAAGTCTCCCATTTTCAAAGCTCTGCATTTAACTCGAATCACTCAACTATTCATTGTCTGGTTCAATTCAGCCGTCGGGGTATCCCAATCTTCAATTCATTAATTGAGCCGCGGCCAGTATGCAAGGTATCAGCTAACACATTAATTCAACCGCCTGGGATCCTGGCGTGATCGCCGCTGAAAGAGAAAAGGAGTGTCAAAGCCTCTCGACAGTCTTAATTGTAATTGGAAGTTGAGGTCCTTTCTGAACCTCTCCAGAAATCGAAGGCCACATCGCGAGAGACGCCTCGCGGCGCACTTTCTTGACAAGGGTCGGGTCCATCGAAAACTCGAAGTTCTTGACGAGCTCGACCAGGAAGGACTGGTACTCGTAGACCCTGCGAAGATATTAGAGACGAGGTGTAGGAGTTGACTGAACGTACGCGAATCTCCAGCCTGAAACATGAGCAGTCAGGGTCGATTTCGTTGAAGAAACACGAGACAAAGTACGCACCTATACAGGCACGGTGTCCGCTCCCGAAGGTCATTCTAGCCGGCCATCAGCTCATAGTAGGAAAAAGGAACTGATATTATACAAATTCCCGTAAACTCCGAGCCTGGTTGTTGGTTGAACGGAGTCACCCATCCACCGTTCGGGATTGAACAAATCGGCATCTATGCCAAAGACATCCGTGTTCCTAAGCCACACACAAATCAATTAAATGTTTGTGATTGGGAATGAAGACTAGTGCACCTGTTATATCCAGCAATGGAAATAATGAGCGCCATGCCCTTCGGGATTGGGAGTTCCGTGATCATTTCCCCCGACTTTGTGAGAATGGGCTTGGACAGCGGTAAGACTTCGTCGCGCGCTGCTTCGCGCATGCTGTGATATCTGCCCGGGTCTCAGGATCATTCGAAGCAATCGTTCACTGAGGGGGCTTACGCCACGGGGTGAAACCTGAGCGTCTCCTGCACATCGATTAATGAGGCAAAAGAATTCGCGTGCAGGAAACGGACCTTCATGACTGCGATGGTGTATGGCATATTGTCGAAATCGGCAGCCGTAAATTCTGTCCCACCACGAGCGCGTACATCCTGCTCGATCGCCAGGATTTCTGCACGAAGTTTTGTCTGTATATACGGATGCTGCGTGAGCTCGAAGAGAGTCCAGGACAAGGTGTTCGCAGTCGTTTCCTGGATTCAGCGGTCAATTTAGTCGAAGTGAGAAAAGAGACACTCATACATGTCCGGCTTGCATTATGGTCCTGCACGGAGATCAGCGCCGACACGAAAAATCGCGGGAATCCACATACTGCATCTGCGCAAGCATTTCAGTTTCGGTAAGACTCGTTCGTGGATTCTCCGATGCATTTGCCTTGACTGGAAAAAGAGATGACGAGTTGAACCGAAGACGATATAGCTTTGCCTACCTAGCAAGCTCATGATATCCCGCTTGCCTTTGCCTGCTATCAGAGCCTCTGCTTTCTCTGCGACAAGTTGCTTCGCGATACCAACGGCAATACCCTGGACTCGGCGGCTGTTGCGTAGGTCGCGGGTAGGAGCGTGGTTTACTAGAAATTTAGTCACAACAATGGGCACAAGCTCCAACAGCCCTAAAACGAAAATAAGAGCGTTGCTCGGTGCGCGAAACATGGGACTGTAAATTTCGGTCAATGAAGGCGCATGGGGGGCTAGCGAAACACGGACACGACGCTGGAAAGAGCCTTGGAGAATGGATCTTCTTGGTTGTTCGTGGTTCCAAACTGGTAGCCGAACGCCACTATGAAAAAAGGAGTAAGATTTGACGTCTATCAGCAGTAATCTCTGGAAACTACAAACCTTCACCGATAACGTCGAGGAGGAATCTGGAAAAGTAACGCGGTACATTGACCACAACGGAGCCCTCTTCACCTATACTTTCTTTCCACTGGGTACAAAGCTATTCCAAACGTCGGTGTAAAGATACCAAAATGCTGCTCAACGTACCTTCTATAACCATACATTAAATCTTGCATGGATAAGGTAAAAAGAAACACGCACATTAGCGTATGCCGCAAAAATAGGGACATAGGAACGCGCCTCCGCCGTTCCGAAAGCAGGAGAATTCACTCTGCGTTGCCTTCTGTGCGTTTCGTCTATCATACCCTAATTATCGGGAAGCGCAATAAAGACTTGATATAAAC